AAGGAGCCCCCCCACCTCCCCCGCTTCCCTTTCGTGCCCAAGAGGGAGGCCAGCGGCCCAGATCCCCCGGCACGCTCTACCCACGTGGAACTCGGGCCTCTCCCCTCCCCAGGCAGGACCCCAGCTGGGGCCCAGCCACCCCGATCTCCGGGGAAGGTCTGGGGCGGGCCACGCTCTGCTCTGCCCTGCCTTACCGGCCCGGCATGAGGAAGAGACGGGCGACCCGCCCGGCCAGGCGCTGCGCTCCCCACACCGCCGCCGCCATGTTGCCGTGTCTGCCCGGGGAATGACTCCGCCCCGCGCCCCCGTCGCCTGACGCAAACTCCTTCGTCCAATCAGCGGCGAGGGCGAGAGCACGGCCAATCACCAGCGCCGCACGCTCCGCCCGACCTCCAGCAAGTTCGGTCGAGACAGCGGCGTTTGGAGGAGGAGGAGGAGGAGGAGGCGGGGGGGGGGACTTTGGTTCTCCCAGGAGGCGCCTCCGAGCCTCGCTCTGGTGGTTGCCACGGCAACGGCGCTGTGGCCGGGCCGAGGTAGGCCGCAGCCTAGGCAAGCGCTGCCGGGCCTCCCCTCCTTCGGTGGAGCCTGACCGCGGGGAGAGCTTCCAGCCAACGGGCGGTCTGCGGGAAAGGACCGAGCCTAGACGCCCTGAGGCCTCTTCCCCGTCGGGGGTGGGGGCAGTGGCGCCAACAGCCCGAACCTCGCCAGGGCTTATTGTTAGCGTTGCCAGCCTCCAGGTGGGGCCTGGAGATCTCCCGCTTTTACAACTGATCTCCAGCTGACAGAGATCAGCCCCCCTGGAGAAAATGGCTGCTTTGGAGGGTGGACTCTATGGCATTGCACCATGCTGAGGCCCCTCCCCAAACCCCGCCCTCTCCTGGATCCACCCCCAAAGTCTCCAGGTATTTTCTAACCTGGACCTGGCAACCCTACTTATTGTGCAGAAGTGCCTCATTACTCCATGCAGGACTGCCATGTTTTGAAAACCCAAAAGAGGCCACATTTCTTGACCGGCTTCTTCGAAGAAGTGATCACTGTCGGGACAAATCTCATGCCAATGCCCCTGTGAGTGTTTAAGGTGTGATAATGGCTAAAAAGGTAAAGGTTCCCCTTGTTCGAAAGCCAGTCGAGTCCGACTCTAGGGTTGCAGTGTTCATCTCCGTTTCCAAGCCAAAGAGCCAGCGCTGTCCGAAGACGTTTCCGTGGTCATGTGGCCGGCATGACAAAACACCAAGGCGCACGGAACGCTGTGACCTTCCCACCGAAGTGGTCCCTATTTATCTACTTGCAATGTCTTGCTTTCGAACTGCTAGGTTGGCAGGAGTGATAATGGCTACTGACTAGAATACTCCTAACTTCCCGGTTTTGATCAGGTGGTTGCTTAGAGGTTAAGACACTGAAGCTGCAGGCTGTGGAAGGTCGGTAGTTCAGCAGTTCGAGACCTGAGTGTGCCGCATGACGGAGTGAGCTCCCCTCTCTAGTTCCAGCTCCTGCCAACCTAGCAGTTCGAAAGCAAGACATTGCAAGTAGATAAATAGGGACCACTTCGGTGGGAAGGTCACAGCGTTCCGTGCGCCTTGGTGTTTTGTCATGCCGGCCACATGACCACGGAAACATCTTCGGACAGCGCTGGCTCTTCGGCTTTGAAACGGAGATGAGCACTGCAACCCTAGAGTTGGATTCAACTAGCCTTTTTAATGGCCACTAACTAGAATATTCCTACCTTCGCAATCCCAACCCATAAAGGAGACATTTTCATTAGGTTTTTTAAAAGAGCCCAAAGGAGGATGGACACCAGAAAAAATAGGATATGACCTCCAAAAGGAGGACATCTGGTAACCCTACTCTATGCCTTGCCAGCTGGCATGGAGGGGGAAAAATACCCCACCGTGTAGTAGGGAACGGCCTGTAGAGCAGGGGTGTCGAACTCATTTGTTATGAGGGCCGGATCTGACATAAATGAGACCTTGTTGGGCATTTTATGTGTGGGCATTTTATATGTGTCATAAAATGTAATGCCAGGTAGCGGAGATATAAACTTTATAAAGGACACAAAAACAAAGGGTGGGTTTTTTTTACTCAAAATAAAAAGATGCTTAAAACATTAGCACTCTTGCAATATTTTGTTTACTTAATAGTGGCCCCGGTCACACGGAGCATTAGGCACGCTAGAGAGACGGGTGATAGGCGGATTTTCCGGGTGCGATCTCACCGCCACATCTGGGAAGCGTAGAGCTCCCATGGCTCACCTGAGGCTTCACTCCGAAGATGCGCTGTAAAAAACTAGTACCTCCGAGGTACTAGTTTCCGGAAACGACGGGGCAAGGGCGGGTGTCAGATCACATTTCCGGTGTTAGCTCATGGCATCCAGCGCCCACCCATGTCCTATTGCGAAAAGTTTTTTTTTTTTTGGTCAAGTCCCCAGGGGTGCGCACAAGCACCCAACGGCGCATGCGAACACTTGGGTTAAAAAAAACAACACAACCCCCGCAGCGCTGCTTTGCCGTGCCGCAGGAGTGAGGTATGATCGGCACCTCCCCCCAACCGAGGGACGTTTGATTCGGTTGCCGTGCAGTAGTTCACTCCGGGGCAAACAGCCATGCCTCCCCCCCCGCGATATCCGGCCCGGCCGTGTGACCGGGGCCAGTGTCTGATAACTGACACCTCTTGCTCTGAATTATCGCATCAAAATGCCTGAGTATGCTGTTCAGGTGTGTATCTGTAAGCTGCAATCCTGAGTATGCTGTTCAGGTGTGTATCTGTAAGCTGCAAACCTACGATGACGCAGCAGCAGCAGAACTGCAAGAAGACAGCCCGTTCCACTGCAGGCCAATAGAAGCCCTGGGGGGGGGGGGCTGATCCGCCCCCCTGCTGTAGAGGGTGAAGTTGGGGAAGGGAGGAGCCCGAGGTACAATGCCCTTAGAGCAGTAGTGGCGAACCTATGGCACGGGTGCCAGAGGTGGCACTCAGAGCCCTCTCTGTGGGCACGCGTGCCATCACCCCAGCCAGGCCCAGACCGTCATTAAAGTGTCGAATTCTCTGCCAAATAATTTTAAGTCAATGAAAGCATTCGGGATTGCTTTCCTTACTTTGTTTGGATCATCTTAAGTTAATGTATGAGTTGTTTTTTCTAAAGTAAAACCTCAGTATTCATGTTAAATTGCCGTGTTGGCACTTTGCGATCAATAAGTGGGTTTTGGGTTGCAGTTTGGGCACTCGGTCTCTAAAAGGTTCGCCATCACTGCCTTAGAGTCTGCTCTCCCATGCTGCCATTCCCTGCAGGAGAACTAATCCCTGTAATTTGGAGATCAGTTGTAATTCCAGGAGAGCTCCAGCCAGATGTTGCTTAGTTCTGTTCAGCTGCTGGGGTTAAAGCTTCAAAAAAGCTTCTGGAGGACAGATTCTCGGGGGGGGGGTACCATACTTCCATTAAAGGGACAAAACATCCCCCCCCCTTCAAATTCCAAAGATAGTGCACGTAGGGAAATGCTTGACTTCTTTATTTTAAAAAAGTTTAAACATTGTGTCGCCAGTCTAAATGAAATCTAGTGTTATTGGGGGTTGGGAAGAGTGACATGACAGCACTGCAATGAACTGAGATGTTCCTCGCTATCAGTATCCCCATAATGGAACAAGGACTGAAAGACCGTCATTTATGACCATCTGGACAGAGGTTTGCAGGTCAGATTGCCTCTGTCCTGGTGTTCGTGAAGTGGAAAGTGTCATTCCTCTGGCGGAAAATCGGTCATAGGAGCGCCAGCCGCAAAGTGAGCAAAAAGGTCAGGCAGTATTGGACCACAGCAAAACCCAAACACAAAAAACATGCAATGGCTTTTATTAAAACCAACCAAAGTAATTTTGTTGAGAGGGCTATAGGGTTGTAGGGTTTAGCTATGGGGTGTCATTAAGACTTCCTTCATTTCCAGATTGGTCACTGTATCACTGAACTATTTACTCCAAGCATTTCTAATACAAAGGAAAAATTTTAATAGAAAAGCTTCTGGAATGTTGCTTCGACCCAGTGCCTGCTGGAAAATGTAAATTTTACATTCTGTCTTGAATTATGTGGACACTTAAATCCAGAAACTGAGGCCATGAACATACACATATAAGACAGATCTTTCCACAAATCTGAGGAAAGCCCCAGGTTTGCAGAAATAAGTGAAATCTAAACAAAAATACAAATAGAAGCAGCACCTGTAGCTGTAAAAAATGAATGGCCTGTCAGTGGCATTGTAGGGGTTGCTTGGCAACCACAACAGTATTTTCAGCCTTCAAGCCTTGGTTTATATCAGTAAAAGGTGGGGGGAGAGGGCAGAACTCTTTCCAGGACTGTTTTGGCCTTTGAGGGAAGACTCCCTGCAGCTGTTACCAAGAAACCTGGTACCGTCCAACTTTCATGATTCATCCAGGCCTAGGTGCTTGCTACTGTTTAATAGCCACGTCATGAAAGCAGTTGTAGTGTAGTGGTTAGAGTGTCAGACTAGGATATGGGAGACCTAGGGTCAGATCACCACTCTGCTGTGGAAGCTTGCTGGGTCACCTAGGCCTAGTTCTTGTGGGTTCCCCAACATGTAACTGCCCAGCCCAGCCCAGTGGCTGGCACTGCACAGCTCTGCCAGAGTTTTCCCTGGGAGAGGGTACCAGAGGAGAGGAAAGGAGGGAAAGCTGAAGATGGAGAAGATAAAGATAGGTTAGCTGGTGGGTGGGAAGGAGAGAACAGATCAGGAAAAGGCAAGAGGACTTTCAGAGAAGGACAAGATGAAATAGCAGGGAGGGGGGGGAATGAAATCCCCCGCCTCAAGTCCTTGTTGGAAATATGTGTGTTGCAAGGTCTAAAATTCAGTTTTTAAAGGGTCAATGTACTTTACCTTATGTGCTATTGTTTAGACTGACCTGGAAGGAAACCTGGCACAGAGCCAATGGAAACAAAGCCGGGAAAACTGAAGTCTGTTTACTCACAATCATTGGTTAATCTATTCAGGTGATTTCCTTCTAGGGTTTAAGAAGAAGAGGAATCTCCATTGTTGTAGATGGTGTGGTCAAACTGTAAAGATGTAGCCCTAGGTGTCTTTGTTGTTTTGTAGGTTTCCTGTGAACCCTTCCCTTAGAAATAAAGATTTTTACATAGAAGAAAATGCCTCCTCTTCAGTGAAGCAAAGATCCATTGCAATCACTGGATATTTAACTGTTTCTTACCAATTTTTCCGACAGTCCTTGCGGTCCTGCTTGGTCTTTCCTGATCAGCGTAACTCTTGCAGGTTCCTGAACTTGGTTTGTATTACACTTCTTTCAG